AGACACAACATCACAAGCCCTGGAGTGGCATTGTGAAATGATTTTCTTCTCCTGTGGCCTCAGTCAACCTTTGAACATGGGAGATTATAGAACCCACGGCAGTTACCTTTGGCCTACGCCTCCTTTCCCCTTACTCCACCGCTACCTACAGCCCCTTCTCCCTTGTTGCTCTGCGCTGTAGCACATTGTCCTGGGGAGAAGGTGCAAGAGTTTGGTGACCAAGAAGCCGATGACTGGAAGAAATGAAAGGGTGGGTAACAAAGTGCAGAAACACTCCCCTCCCACAGCACCCCTTTACTTTGAAACACTCCCCTGCCATAGCACACTTTTACCTTACTCTTCCATCTTCCAAGAGCAGAAGCCAACGCATTTTGGCAACGGTGGAGCGCGATTCAGCCCGGCGCAGATGGGCGGCGAGCTGGGGCATCCTGCGATCGACGCCAGCTGACTGTGCAGAGCTGAATTTTACCTCGGAATGAAGTAGGTCTTAAAGCCATGACCAAGGGGAAAGAGGGTCACCATTTCCATCTTACAGGGGGAGAACGGAGGTGCTGTCTGTCACAACCGGACTCCTAAATCCTCAGGGAACGCACGGCTCATGGGATTAGTAATGGCTTTGGGTTAAGCTGTTAGTCACTACTAAGGACTTCAAGTGCAGCGCCGAGGAGGAGGAAGAATCCCCTCTAAAACTTCTAAAAAGAAACACACTCCTTCATACAACAGGAGATTTATGAACTGAATTTGAACTGATAAGGCCGTGACCTTTCCTAGGAAAGGGCACACACTCCTCACCCAGAGCTGCAGTCTTTACAAGCACTACCAATAAAGACTGTAGATGAAGAGTGATTTATTAGTCACCAACAACTTTTTCAGCATCTTTATAACCTACAGGAGGTGGGTATGCACCACCAGGAGGAACATCCAGCTCTAAAGCGCTGACAGCCAGAAGTCACAAGAGAAACAGCGATCCACAGCTGAATTTCCATAAACCGTGTTCCCATTTAGCTGCAATCTCAGTTAAGCATTTCACTGTGGGTGGGCTATAGGCTGGACTGGCCGAGCGGTTGGGACGCGCTGTGTACAGCTGGCTCCTGGAGCTGGCCCGCCAGGATTTGCACCAGCCCCCTTCTACAAAGGCAGGGGTGGGGTGAGAGACGAGGGAAAAGTTGATTTCTTACTGTCGGGATGTGAGCCAGCTCGGAGCGCAAGGAAGGGTCAGCGATGCCTCGCCGACTCAGAACACTGCTGAAAAATGTGGTTCTCCGAGCAGATCACCCACCACGTGTTCCTCGGCTCTGCCACTCTCCCTTCCAGCTAAAGCACAAGAGCCGTGTCCCGTGGTAGATACCAACCACAGTCCTGTTCAGGGCACTCCCGCACCCACCGCCTGCATTTGCAAACGGGCACCTTTGTGATTTCTTTCACACCACTCCGAAAACTCGGAGAGAACCCAATAAAAGTACCTGGAAAACCAATTCTTTTCTGGAGAATCATCTGTGTGAACCCTCTGGAGGAGTTGAGTTACGCCACCGCTGCTGTTTCCACTGCCGGAATGACACTGTCTCCTCGACATCCTCCCTCTATCTCAATCTGTTATCTAAGTTCACATTTAAGGCAAATCTACTAAGGCAGTGATTATCTCCCAGTATTGTGTTTCAGTTACACCTAACACAGGGCTGTCCTGTCTCATGAGGTGCAAAGAACTGGTCACGATACATTTCAGTATTTTCTCTCTTTACCAGATTCAGGCTTACACCACAGTCAATACTGAAGATCTGTGTTTTACACCTCTTAGCGATTCTATGAGCAGTCACCTCCTAGACGACAGAACAGAATTCCTAACTTATCAGAGATTTGCCACGAAGAATTTGGAGCAATTTGAGGACAGCGAATGGTCACAGAACATACCCTTCTGAAGTCTCCCAGACTCTGAAGAGCGCAGCCTTCCCCTGACACTCTGCAACCTGCCGAGTGAGAAAACAGTCAGAAAGGACGGCCGAGGGAGTCAACGGCTCGAGACTCGAGTGGGAGTCCCAGCTGCGCGCCACATTCCCTCCAAGACTTATCACTGACCTTGCCTACAGCTTCTCCCATCTTTAAAATGGGCATTACCTCCCTTAATCTCATCTGTTTAGTTTGTAAATTCTCCAGGGCAGAAACTGGTTTTTATTTGCGCGTACAGCACCACATACAGCAAGGTCCTGATCTTGGCTACGGCTCCGCAGCAAGACTGAAACACAAAGAAATGACGGTATCATGATCAAACATGAAGAACTCAGATAAACAATAGAAAAAGCAGCTTGATATTTTTTTTCCCTGCAGTCTCTGCTTTTCCATGGCTTGTTTATTCATCTCAAAACCTCAGCAGACATCTAATCAAGCTGTTAAGAGCCAGATTTGCGGCCAGTCAAGCACTTAGGGAGTTGTTAAACGTTGAAAAACAGTTCTATTGGGCAAACAGCTTCTTTTTTTGCCCTTCTCCTAGACTGTGGTACGATTTCTTTATTCACTGTATACTCATCGTTTTCCTATTAAAATTGCCTCGGGGTTATACAGTAACTTCTTCACTAAAAGGTCTCATTAAGTTTTGGGTAGGGACACCTGACTTTTTTAGGCCTATCTTATTTGCACTTTTTGGTACCAATCCAAATCACGCTACGGTTAGACGAAGCAATGATTTCAGCAGGCTTAAGAAAGAAGGAAAAATGTGATAGTTTCCAGATGAGTGTATTACACTAAATTTAACCTGCCTTTTGGTACTTAGAATTTCCACTTTTCCCCCTTCCATTTATGTAATTAGAAATCAAGCAGCAGGAAACCATTCCTATTCCAAGCTCAGTTAGGAACAGCGCGGTCTCATTCCCATAGAGGGGAACAGGAGCCTTGTCCTCACAAGCAGACCTTTTGCACAGCTTACACGGACAGGGGCAAAAATAGGTTTTGAATAATATAACTTTAATGAAACCAAAACAAATACAGGTCTGTTACGTGCTAGTTATATATGCATATATATATATCTCAATGCCAACAATGAGCAAGGCAGCTGTGAAAACCAAAAAAAAATGCAGTTCTTACCCTATTCAAAGTGCAACGATAAATTTTCAAGTCCACTTTTTAAATGGTACAATTTTTCCACACTCAACCCAGTGGTTTAATAAGCAAGAACATTTATTCTGATTATTCTCAGCCTAGCAGTAAAGGACACACTGTGAATGGATATCTACAATGGTACCCTCCGAGTTCCAGGGTCTGAAGAACCACTCGATTGCAGGTCACAGCAGATCCTATTAAGAATTACCTCTAGGAAATCATGTTTGAACTAAAGCAGAGCATACCAAGGCAGGACAAGTCATTACTAGGGATACTAAATAAAAATGGAACCCATCACCATGGCCCAAATGACAGAGAGCTAGCAGAAGTTTTTCCTGCATGTTGACAGTCGTTACACTCCGAGCGCTGTTACCACTTTTGGGTCTCCTCTTGGTTACCCAGGTCGATGCTTCTCTCCAGCTGAACCCACGGCTTACCAGACCGCTGGCATCGCACCACACACCCACAACTCCGTAAAAACACTTCCCAAACCACGGCGGAGCTATGGCTCCAAAGTACATAGTTCAAATTAAAAACTGGGGCCAGATAAAACGATTCAAAAGCGAGAAGAACGAAAGAGATCCTGTTCCCAATAAGCTGTTTTGACCCGACCGATGAATGCAGTCCGGCAAGGGAGGAGGTGGAAAAACAAGGACATGCTCGAGCAATGGTCCTGGATGGTATCACGCTTTGACAGCCTTTAACGCTGCTCTGGCATTAAAGCTATTTTATTTCATAAGTCCATCGCTCTAGGCGAGCTCCTCGGCTTCTGTTGACTCTGGGCCCAGCTCAGCGCATTTCTTCAGCGCCCAGGGAGGGGTGTGGGTGCAGGACTGCTGCGGCACCCGCAGCAAACCTTGGTCCCACTGCTCGGTAAGATAAGGAGTTTCTCAAGCTCTCTGAACTCAGGAGCCTGCCCCTCAGCCCATCCCCTTCCTTTCTTGGCACGCTTTAAAAAACAAATATTGCGCAATTTGTTTTCCATTGTGTTTTCCTTTCTGGAGAGGAATTTTTTTTGTCACTCTTCCATCTGCCAGCGCTCACCATGCAGCAGAACAGGCTTTTTCAGTAAAGGGAAGTTCCTGATCAGTCTAGACTATTCTCTTTCCACCTCAGAGGATACACATTTACATCTTGTGCTACTTGGACAACATATCGTCAGCACGGGACAAGGAAAAGGGGTCCTTGAGAGCCAGCTCAGGAGCTAGAAAATTGTGCTGAGTAAAGAAGCAGTGAAGGCAACCTCTCGGAGTCAGAAGAAGAGCAGCAGACAACATGCGAATGAGCAATTACGAGGACTGGGGTAAACAGAAAAGGGAGTACTTGGACCAGTGACTTGCCAATAAAGAGCTTTAAATATTTGTGATCCACTCCCAGGCACCGAAACCCGATTGCTCCCACAGAAGAGGAGTGAAAAAGCCATCAAGCCAAAAAGGTAAGCTCAGAGCCAGATGGCACGTGCATCTGTTTAAATGGCCTGCCACACCACGAAGTTTCAAACTCGGGTCACTCCGTGACTCAAAGCTCCAAGAGACAGCGCCGGGTGGCTGCACCAGTCACACAGTTAGCGTTTGCCCTTTCGGGTTCTGCCTCTTCAGAGAGCACAAAATTCCGATTTTAAAAGGCAACTGAACAAACAGGACATAGGAGTATTTATATTCCTCTCCAAACACCGGCACAAGCAGCAGGGGTCTAGCTGGTGATTTATGAGGTGGGAATGCTTCTTTGAACTGTACGTTAGATGGGGGCTGCCTTGCCAGAGTGGAGAGGAACGTACGACGGCTGTCTTTTCTGAAGAGCTCTCAGTGGCTTTTACCCAGGTGGTCACAGCTGCTGGGTACTCAAAATGAAGTCCTCTCCTTCCATTCTCTCTCCCCCTCACTCAACATACAAAGTCAACACACCAGAGAAGGCCATTTTTCTTTTATTTATTTCCCAGAAGAGCTCCTCCTTGCACTTTCGAGACATGATACAAAACAAGCAACAGAACTGTGTTTCATGTACAGAAACAGTTTGTTGGAGTATAAAGAGTTACTGGTGGTCGTTACTGAAGAATCGTGGCTTATTCCAGGGGCACTTCAGTATTCCTGAGGAATAATCATTGATTTCTCCTTCCTTCCCACTGGGATAGTCTTAATCATTAGTCACTGTTCCTGTAAAGCAAGAAGGCTGGTATTATTAAAAAGCCATTTGGGTTCCTTATGTGGAAGGTGCTGCAGGATGTAAAGCAAGCCACACGGCTTCGTGACACTTCCAGAAGGTGGGCTAACATTTTCATCCTTCGCTAGACTTCGAAGCTGACCGCGGAGAAGCTAAGCAGCTATTTGCATACCAAAAGCATGCCGGGTTTCACACACATAACCTTCTGTTCGGATAAAACTTTCAAAAAAGCCCAACGTTATTGTTCAGGTTAACTATTCACATTCTGAATGGAAATCAGAGCGAAATCCAAGCCGCGAATGGCCGGAGGAAAGGCTCCGGTTGCCAGACTTCTTGTGTTCTTGTGCATTGCTATAATCCACATTGCTATCAAAGTACAGGGCTGTGGGGTTGTGGCTGATAAATAATATGGGCTAAAAAACTTGAAAAATATGATACTTTCCATTTCACAAGGAAACCTAGACCATGTAAGTCTCAGCCATACTGTTTTAAGCCTTGAAATAATTGCTAGATGTTTTTAAACCCAGCTGAATCACAGGGAAATCCACTTGATCAAATTACTTTAAAAACCCCCTCAGAATCTTATGACCACAAATTAGAACTTTTCTGCATTTTAAGTAGTCTCTCAGCCTAGATGATTGCCTCTTGCACTGCTGTGAGCGTTTCCTGATCAGATTACTAACCCAAAGGATGGGCAGCGCCGTGATCCGAGTTACAGCTGCAACAGCTGCAAAGTCACTTTGTAAGCTCCTGATGGATTATTGGGTATCGTGAAGGTCCTCTGTCCTCTCATTCTCACTTACAGTTCAGAATTAAGAACCTGATCCAGAAGAATCAAGAGTCCAGATTGGACAAAGCTCTAAGTAACCTGGTCTGACCTCATACCTGACCCTGGTTTGGGCTCAGATGACCTCCTGGAAGTCCTTTTCAACTTGAGTTTAGTTACAAGTATTTTCTAGGAAAAAAAGGAGGAGTGATAATGCAACAATATTTTCCATGTTCCTAACCAAGAGAAATGAAATAATTTTGTTGTAATAACCCTGGAGCCATGATCCATGACACGACATTTTGGAGAGAATTAATGACATTACCCATTAAATGGCTTCACTCGCCTCTTCCCTCTCTTGGCACGTTTGGCCTCTTTGTGCCAGAGAAAGCTCACGGAGACACTGCACTGGAAACTATTTGTCTGGTCCTGTGCCGTGCACGCAGCTGCGCTTTTTCTGTGAAGCATCCTTCCAATTACCTCATGCTTCGAAGGACCACCCTTGCTCCAGAGCACAGCTTAGTCCTTAATCCAAACAAAATCCTTTACTAGGTTGACCTGAAAGTCAGTTTTCTGCTGCCCAACAGCCCTAGTAACAAAAATTCATCCTCGAACGAACGATGCTTTCTCAGAACATGTGAACGAGGCATCTCCCACTCATATGAAGCCACAGGCGTGTCTTTCCATTTTTGTTTTTGGAGACATAAATTGGAAGATTGCCCTCAGGACGGTGTGGAAATCTAACATGTTTTGATGTTAACAAATCTGGCCAGAAGACTCATGCATAGACTTTTGATTCTGGGCCGTAGCTGGCAGTGTTGGAGCAGCTGCATCTAAGTTCTATTTCGCTATCTGAAATATTTTATTCCAAAGAAGTTGTTCAAGGACCTTGTTATCGTTTCCCTTTCGTAACAGGCAGCTGAAGAAAACGTTTGTAAACCAGTATGTCTGGTAGGGCTGCAGACGGCTGGCAAAAGCTCATCTGCCACTAAATCTAAGGAGGACTGGACTCAATTTACAGCTCTAGATACATCAGGAAAACCCTTAAAAACACCTTCAGGCCTCCTTCATCAGGCAAACGAGGGACAGAGGAGCAAATTTTACATTCTGTGTACTTGCTATGAAAAGCTCCTGGCGAACACCTCTTCTTCGGCACCAGTGAAATGAGTTTAGCAGTACACAGCCTTGTGGAGCCGAAATATGCACACACACCTTTCCCCCACCCCCCGATGCCACAATGATAAATTAACACAAGAACAGCCCCAACTTTTACATGGGAAGAAATAAAGAAAACATTAATGAAGTCGGTTTGTAGGCTCAGTGCACTGTAAGCGGTTTGTGAGTGCACAAATGGTTCTTGCTGACTATTTTTAAATAGTTTATCTCAGTAGGGTCATTGATAATAATGAACTCATTTAACTATCCTCTTCAAAACTATTTAAAGCATACAATTTCTTCAGTCTAACTGTTACATTACTATCCAGCCAAATAAAGCCACAAAACTTACAAGTGATCAGTGTTTTCATGTTGAAAAACCCCCAAAATCCCAGAAAAGATCAAAGATCTGCTGCCATGGGCAGATCTACCTGATGTGACTTTCAGTTTCTTCCGAGCTCATTTCTTTCCAAGTCTGAAGACAGAATCTGCCCACTAGTTTAGTTTTTCAGCTTTTCCAACACGTATTTTTACTATACTTGTTTTCAGGTTGTGGGAAAACCTACCTGCAGGATCTGTTAAACTAATTCTATGTATCCAGCCTCTAAGTTTACTGCTAAACCCACCAGACATTACAGATTTCTAAACAGCAGGGGAACCACCCCCGCTTCGGCAACACAAGTTTCTTCTTACTAGTGCTCTTCCGGGACAGGCAGAGGAATATCCATTTAAACGGTGTCTAGATCCGCGTTTAATGCTAACTTATAAACAGTTACCACTTAACAGTAACTAGTAGCTATACTTACTTTTACAAATTTACCATGGAGAAGATATGGAGACTGGAAGTCGTGCTGACAATTGGAATAAGCCATTCCTAACCCCATCCCCGACCCAAACGCGATCGGCCATGTCTTTCCTGTGAGGGAAGGCAAGCAGAGAAGAAAAATCAAAGTAAAGAAAAGCTGTTCGTTTCACATGACAGTGACAGCATTTTTCAGTAAGTACCACGAAAGAATAAACTACTGGAAGATGCATATAACTAATTTTCAAGTTCTATGAATCCTTAAAAAAAGCAAAAACCAGAGCACTTCAGAAGAACGCGAGTTACAGTAAGACATCATACTAAGATGAAAAGCAATCTCTAAATTCAAGGTAGTGCTGAAAATTATTCTGTTACCAAAGCATAGTTTTAAAACCCTGGCAAGACTGGCATAAACTGATGTCCACACACATGGCTCCAGTAATTTGGCTCAAGGTTTCCTGCAACTGCAGGATCTGAGCTGAGATATTCGCACAAGAACCTTGTTAGGCAACAGCTGCAAGCTTAGGTAACTCCACCTCATTGGAAAAGAGGTGTCCAAAAATGAAAGACTTGACCTGCCATCCTGATTTTTACATGCCTCAAAGATCTCTTGGTTTTAAATGGCACCTACAACAGACAGAAATGAGGAAAGCAGGCAGTTGTAAACTTACTTTTGAAGAAGATGACTGAGAAAACGATTCCTAACCCGAACCCAGCACCTGTAAGAAGAAACGCAGGGAGTGAGGACTAAGACAACGCAAAGCAATGGAAAACGATTCACTTGTTTACGTTAATTCTTTGTAGCGGCTCAGGAATATCAGATCACATTAGTTCAGCACATCAAACACAAAGGTGCTTAAATAGCTATACCGAAAAGAAAATAATTCTTGTTTTCTTCAGTCATTGTAAGCAGCTAATTCAGCTTAGAACCCCAACCCAGACAAGTACATTATCAGCACGATTTGGGAAACAAACCAGACTCTCTCATCGCAGGGAAAGTTACTGAATTTCTGTCACCATCTACGATGTGGAATTAAGATTTATTTGGCTCCTTGTCAGCAAATGAGAAATGTTTAAACGAAAACTTATTGTGTCCTTGAGCTTTAGATTTCGCAGATGAATATCTTATTGTATTTCGTTTATCTCACTGCTTTAACCACTTCAATGTGTGTCCTGAGGGCAGCAAAACCTTGATGCTTTGTGTTACCCTATACCTTGCAAAAGAAAGCTCCAGGCTGCTTATCTTTCACATCCACAACATTCATTATGGAGCATATTTAAACACATTAGGAATGAGAGACTTTTCACATCCTTATACTATATATAGAAATAACTGCAGTGGTTGAAAAAAAAAATACCAAAATCTATCCAGCATCATTAAAAAACTCATCTGGCATATTTAAAAATAATTTTTGCTTTCCTTGGAAAGTGCGCTTAGGATTTTTTATGAGAAGTCAGGCAACTCTGCAAAACTCCTCCCATAACTCCATAAATAAAACGGGGAAAACTTTGAGTTCAG